TTTTGAGACAGGGTCTTGCTATGATCAGATTGGCCTACAGGGAGGCTTCACAGAGGAGGGACTCGGAAAATCAACTAACACACAGATTGGTTTTGAATTCAACCGTACAGACTGTTGGCCTCAAACTCCTGGAGAGTCTCCTGCCTCAGCCTCCCCAAGTGCTGGAGTTGCAGGCATCCACCGTCATGCTCAGCTCTTCTATATCTCTTTGAATTAGCCTTTCATATTAGAAGCTTTCTTCATAGCTGTTTTGTAATTTGCATTGCATGAATATACTGCTGTTTTGTTCAATGATTCACATTTTGCTAATACTATGAGTTCCCTTTTGACCTTTTGTAGACATATGTTTTGTTCTCTAAAAATGAATTTTCCCTTTGGGGCTGGGGATTTAGCTCAGCGGCACAGCGCCTGCCTGGCAAGCGCAAGGTCGTGAGTTCAATTCCTGGTACCGGAAAACAAAAAAAATGAATCTTCCCCTCAAATTGGGTTGCTTTGAAGCCTTTCTCCAAGCTCAGTGGTCATATGCATGTTAGTCTTATCTCTGTGTTTTTTCTTCTCTTGCGTTGATCGACATCTCTATCTCTGGATCATATTGCACCATCTCGGTTACAAAAACTTGATGGTAAATTTTGGAGTCTAATAATTAGAGCCTCTAACTTTGTTTCTCTTTTAAAAAGAGTTAAAAGATTTTAATTTTCTTTTACTTTTCTGTTTTCTGTTTTATTCTTGTTATTCATTTTCTTCCCTCTATTTACTTTGGACTTATTTGTTTTTACTACCCAGCCTGTTAAGCATGGATCATTGTGTTATTCTTTTGTTTCCCCTTATCAGATATGAATATTTCAGAGCTATAAATGACCCTCTTGTATATGGCTTTAGCATATTACACACATTTTAATATACTTTATTTCAGTATTTAATTAAAATATATTTTACTTTTTAATGTAATTTCTTTTATGGCCTATGGTTTATGTGTCTGTTTCAATTTGCAAATATTGTATTTATTTTTTAGATAGCTTGAGCTTAGTTCTTAATATAATTGTCTTGTAGTTGGAAATATATGCTGTGGTTTTCCATTTTATTGTACATTTGTTGAGACTGTGTGTGTGTGTGTGTGTGTGTGTGTGTGTGTGTGTGTGTGTGTTGAGACAGGATCTTACCATGTAATTCAGGCCAGCCTTGAACTCATGTTCAGCCTCTCAAGGGCTCGCATTACAGACACACACCACTGTTCCCAGCTTTGTTGTTGAGACTTTTTAATGGCCTGTCTAGATGTTTTAAGAAGAATATGTATTCTATCTGTACTTGTAGGTAATGTTTTATAAGTGTTGCATAATTATGATGGTAGCAGTCTTAATGAGATTTTATGCGCTTTATTATCTCTTATAGAGAACATATTATTGGATCTTGCTTTTTAAAAAACATCCATTGTGAAATTCTTTCCCCTTTAGTTGGAATGCATGGTGGAGTTTATTGGTGTGGCTGTACATTACAGTTTATTGTGTGCCTGCCCGGCACCATTTGTCTTCTCTTTGTCCCATTTGCCTTTGTTTATTGTTATTTTATTAGTCCTTTTCTACTGTCTTTGGAATAAGTGATTTTTTTTCCTCCACAAATCCTTCAAGCAGGTGAACTCTTAACATTTTTATAATGTAATTCTGTTGCTGATTAATCTTTTATCAAAAAAAGTATTTTGTTTTTGTTCTTACAAGTTTGTTTGCTGAATACAGCGTCCTAGGTTGATTTTGTTTTTTTCTTTTAGTGTGTTAAAGTTTTCATCTTACTGGCCTCCTTTTTTTCCCAACTAACATTTGTATCTTTATTCCACGTAGTCTGCCATTTTTCTCTTGTTGCTTTCCCTTTTTCTTTGCTTTTCCAGAAATTAGCCATTCTGTACCTACCAGCTTTGTTTTTTCCTTCTACTTTTCCTACTTGGAATTTATTGAGATTCTTGGATTGGAACATTTTTTCATATTTTTGTACTCAGCCAGCTTACCTTTTTAACATGTATTTCATAAACCAGATATTTTCCCCTAAACTGTCCAGCATAAATCATTAATAAGTTACAGTGTCAGCTTTGTCAGACCAGCATATGAAATAGGAATGAACCTTCTAAAATAGAAACAATCTGGATATACCTGAGTTCATAAAGGCATTGTTCTGTGACACCTTGGTTATGTATGTACTAGATCATGATATAAGATATACTTTTAAACTGTGATCATAGTCAACAAGCTTCAAAAGCTAGACTGTCTCTGCATCTTAACATCTGCCTTTTAAACCATAACCTACCTATGGGCAGCGCAGCTAAGTGGCACTGGGAGAAGTCATCTCAGCCCTTTACTGTCCACAAGGTAATTCTAGAGGAATGTGATTCCTGGATAACTGCCTCGTGGTGTGAAGGCTTAGCTTTGAAAGAGATATTTTCTCTTTCTCGGAGTGCACTTACCTCATCGTTCTTGCCACTTTCTGAAACAGTTCTGCAAGCCTTCTTTTGTATCTTTCCTTGCTCTGTTGCGGCTGCGCTGATGTCCTGAGTCAGTTGACTTCAGGAAAGAACCAGAAGCCATGTGGTGCCATATCACTGAATTAGGTGGATGAGGACCTGCCTGGTAAGGTTTTTAAGAGCCTGCCCTTCTGTTGGACAGGGCAACATTCACTGTATTTTTAAAAGACAGGGAAGAAGATTTCCAGGATTGCTTCAGAAAGTGGCAAGGACAGTAGGATAAGTGTGTTGGAAGTGGGGGCGAGTAACATACTTTGAGGAAGATTGATGATAATATGTCTTGCATGGTAATGGTTATTTTGAAATGTGAACATTCACCATATATTTTGATCATCCTCTGTGCGTCATCCGTGGTTTTCTCCTTGTTCCCTGAAAGGCTAAAAAAGTTTCCTAATTAGCATGTGTAATGTGAAATCTTTGGTCATTGACACGCTCTAGTAGCAGCTAAGAACAGCAAAGCACAGCTTTGTTTCTAACTTGGTGCTTTAGTAGTTGACCTTTGAACATGCTTGAATTCTTACTGTATAGATGATATTAAAGTGTTTTTTTTGGAGTATAGCTCTAAAATAAATCCTTGTTATTTTATGCTTTAATAAAGCACATAGCTGTTCTTAAGTAAGGTCTCACTTTATCCTAAGCATAATTGTGCAATCCTCACCACAAGACAAAGTTGAAGTTGTGTGTTTTGTTCTACTTGTCAGAATTCCCTATCATTTCTAGAATGGGGGAGGGGAGGAGTGGGAATCATAGTTCAAGCTCATCAGACATTTGAAACTTTATGCAACTTCAATGAAATCCATATGTTGTCTACTTTTAGTTCACATTTGGGACCAACCTTTCAAAATGAAACATTATTGTTAAATTTTTCCATCAGGCCTTTAATACTGCAATCATCAACATAGTATAAAATATGCAGCAGGACTGTTTGAAAATGGCCTCGGGTATTCACTGGAGTTGCTTCAGCAGTGAGCCATCTGGTGCTCTGTCTCCAGCCTCGTCCCCCTACCAGGAGTATCTGCACCTGTGTTCCGCTGACCTTTAGATGAGTGGCTTCTTTCTCACTGTTTCAGGACACTGTGATGTCTTGATGCTGGGCAGTGGAATTTCAGTTTGTTACCAAATTTAGAATGCCTGGCCCCAAGCATTCTGTTTGTTCTTCCACTGATTAGAAAGCTCTTACTCATACACTGTGAGGAAGAGCCCAGTGCACGACGTTTCCAGATTTTCTCCTTAGAAAGTAGGGGATAGGAACCAAAAAAGTTAGAGCGGGAGAATTATAGTGAGTTATAATAAGTAAATGAGTTTCGTTTTGCTTCATTTTACAAAGCAGCCTCTGCCACAGTGAAAACAGCTGTTCCGGGGGACCATGGCTCCTTGTTCTCAGTAATATGGGCAGTGCATTACAGTGTGTATTGTCGGTCATTAGAAGATACAAAGGGTTTTGTCAGCTCAAGAACTAGTCTGTGTACTGTAGCCCCTCTTTTTTATTTGGCTGGCACAGTATTAAGACTTAATGGGAGCATGACCTGATACTTAGATGTGTTATCAGAATTTTGTCATTTCTCAGTTATCAAGAGACGCAGCGTTCCCATACGGAATGATTGACTGCTTGTGCTTCTTTTGGCAACTTTGTTACTACTGCCTCCTGAAGTTCCCAGTAGCTTTTTAAAGCAGTTTTTACCCTGGAGAAAGGCAGGCTTTAGTATGCTCTGTGTAGGTTCAGATGCAGAGAAGATAGTATCTGGGGGTGTTCTCTTTTGCATCCAAAGGAGATTTCACAATCTGTACCCTTCGACAGGGAAGAATGGCTTTACCTACTTCTAAAAGTGACTGTTAGTGCATTGCCCAGAAGGAGCAAAGGACTGAAGAGGCTTTTAGTGTACAAAGAGTGAAAACAGTGTCTGCTCAGAAAAATTGTAGAGTCTACATAGAAAAAAGTATTAAAGACTAAGCATTCTCTCTCTGTAAATTATTGGCAGGAATGACAAACAGAGAGTGTGTGTCTTGGTGACAGGGAAATCACTGCAGCTTTCACCTCTGAATGAAGGGATTTGTAAGTGAAGGGAAGAAAAAAAATCCTGGTACGTTGTAGGTGGGAAACTTCACATATGAAAACGATTTGACGTACAGCCAGCTTGATAAACAGAGACTTTAAGCAGGTGTGCAGAGCAGACAGGTTTTGAAATGTACATGTTAAACCATAACATCTGGATTACTGTTTGGATCCCCCGTCCCAAACCAGAGTTCTCTGTTTCCCCTTTCTTTACAGGAGAGTTGGATGGAGAACATCATAATAGATTGTCTTCGTTAAGCCAAGGCCTTAACATCATAGAGTTTCTTCCGTGATTGTTTTTTAGTTCTTTGTTTTATTTTAGCTCAGCAGTACCCAGTAAATGATTCTCATTAACAAGCTAACTAATAATCATTGTTGAAAGCATGTAATTGTAATTATGCAGCAGTGTTAAATGTTTCTGGTTTGTTTTCTTTTTTTTAGAACACAAAGTAATTATAGTGGGACTGGATAACGCAGGGAAAACTACCATTCTTTATCAATTGTAAGTATTGCTGTTTACTTAACAGTTTTTATTATTGAAACTATTTTTATAATAAGAATGAAATACTATGATGGAAAACATAAACTTTTTTCATTTTACCAAACAAAATTTACAAAAAAGTGAGTAGACTGTTGTATGTTTTCTAAGCCTTCACAGATACTTACTGGTTTCTGGCCTTGGTAGAAAGAATTAATAGTAAACTAAAATAAATAAAGCACAAATTACAGTGCTGGGTGAGATGATGAAATGGATTTCATGTAGTTGTCCCTGCACTGAAATAAATGTAAATAGATGGGTATCTCTAGGAAGCTGCTATTGCCCTGACTCATAACTTTGGAATTGTTTAACATAACCAGACTTGACAAAGTAATGACAATCAAAATAGTGCTTTCCTAGCTTGCAAAAAGAAGACATTGGAAACTTTGAGAGAAACACATTAATACTTATCTTTTGTCTAGGCACTTCACCAGAAATACTCATATAACCCCAATGCATAGCATATTTTTCAGATGCTTTGCTAAAAACATTTCCTGATGGTTTACTGTTTCAGAGTCAAATAGGTACTTGTTTTTCTTTAAAGCACTTTAATTTGTCCTTGTATATTTTAATGTGACTTAGCCTTTAAGCCTTAAATGCAAACATTTCAGAAACTTTTCATTTTCGTTGAAATCATTTTACACATAGCTTCAAAAATATATGTAAAATTCAAAGTCAGGCATGGTGGTGCATGCCTGTAATTCCAGCACTTGGGAAGCTGAGGCAGGAGGACTGCTGTAAGTTCAAGGCCAAACTGAACTACATAGCAAGACCTTGTCTCAAAATACATAAAATTCAAGAGAAGTCTAGGGATATAATTCAGTGGTGGAGCCCTTGACTAGCATGTGTAAGGCCCTGGCTTCAATCAGTACTTCAGTACCCTCTCCCTCAAAAGGGGAAAAAAAAGTGCCCAAGGGGAGGTTGTCTCTTCCAACACAATATTGGAATTATCAGCAAACACATATGAGTTCAATGAGTTATAATGTAACTTAACCAAATGATTATAATAATACAAGGGATACGAATATCAGTACTGTGAATATATTTATAGGTCCTTTTAAGTAAAATTTTAATTTGCCTGTGGCCTTATCTTTTTAAGACAATGCTTATCTTTTTAAGTGTTGTTCAATAAGCCTGAACTAAGTTTTATGGCTGAGTCTCAATTTTCTTGCCTAGGTACCCTTACAGAGACACCCTACATAGCCAACTACCCAGTGCTTGCCATTTTGTGATATTGGCATGTCGGGGCATTGGTTCTCTAACTGCTGAGAAGTTTCACGCCACAGTGCTCCCTTCTGTGCATATTAAGCCTGCAGTTCAATCCATTTAAAAAAATGAAAATCACACCTGTAATCCCAGCACTCGGGAGGCTGAATTTGAAGCAGGAGGATCATTGTGAGTGTGAGGCCAGGCAGGACTGCAAAGTGAGTTTAAGGCCAGCATGGACTACCTAGTAAAACCCTGTCTCAAAAAGACTCCCCGCTGGAAAAAAAATAAATCAGTTTCCTTTGCCTAGATCTTTGTTTACACAAATTTTGTCCAAGTTTCCCTTTTTCAAGCTATGAGAAAATTTTATTCATCTTAACAATACAGAGCTAAAACTTGCTTCAGAAGCTGGGCATGGGAAGTTGAGGCAAGGAGGGTCAGTGTAAATTCAAGGCCTGCCTGAAAGATGTACTGAGACCCTGTCTTCAAAACCCCACCAAAGAAAGAAAACCTTCGAGTTCTCAAGATTTACAAAAAAGTTTTTATGGTGCCTGTCTTTCAACAGCTTAATGAATGAAGTGGTTCATACTTCTCCAACCATAGGAAGCAATGTTGAAGAAATAGTTGTGAAAAACACTCATTTTCTTATGTGGGATATTGGGGGACAAGAGTCACTGCGGTCATCCTGGAACACGTATTACTCAAACACAGAGGTATGCTATGATGACTTTTGAATTTTCTGAAGTGTGTGGAGAGCTGGTATTAGTTAGTTGAGCGCTTACTTTTGGCCACACTGTCTGAGTTTATTCTCAATGTAACTGTAATGTCTTCAAGTGTGGGAGAAACCTGACACTAGGAGAAATTGATAGCTTTTCTCAAGATCTTGAAACTTTATAAGAAGGCCTGATTAGGGGAAGAATAAAATACTTGGGTGTAATACAAGCTTTTCAGATAGCACAAACATTCAGAATTGTCATTTCTATTTTAATGGGATTAAAATTGTAGACCATCCCCAGACTGTTCTTCCACTTACTAGTTCAGACCCAGCCTGAGGAACAAATCTCAACTGTCTTCTATTTGTTTTTTTTTGTGTGTGAGACAGACTTTTTTAAAGACCACGCATTGCTGAGAGTTGTAGCTTTGCTTGCATACTAATGTATACAGTTGCATCCAGGTATTTTTTCATTTTAAAGAGGAAGAGGTATGCCTAACCATTTACCTGCATGTGTTTTTCCTAAAATGAAACCTTTTAAAAGTTGGAGATGAAAGAAGAAATAAAGCAAAGATGTTCTGGAGCACAAAGTTGCCTTCTTACATTAAAAACATGTTCTCCTGAATTTGTGTTGTAATATCATATGTGCATGTCTGTATTCTAGTGCTGTGTATCAGTAGTAAAGCTGGATAACACATGACAGATACTCAGCACTTGCAGTAGCACTTAATTATTTTACTTGAGTGAGAGGGTGAAGACAGGCAGAAGAAACTGATAAAAACATTGTGGTCATAAGTTAGCTGACCACACATTTGCACAGTAAAATAACATTCTGAAGCTAGGTAGAGTAGGGGAAGAAAAACACCCTAGCATAGGACTTACTTAAATAGCAGAGGTACTTTTTTCAAAGTTCATGGTTAATTCTAGCTTTGAAAACAGCAGGTTTCTTTGATGAGAGATCAAAGTTGATGCTGGATGATTCACATATACCATACTTGAAACATTTCAAAGGTTAGTTTTTGAAATTGCTCAGACTCTGAAAGACTTAGCTTCAGTCCAGAAAGAGAGTAATTACTGATTTATTTGCACAAGATGTTCTTTAGTAAACTATTTCTACAAGAACATCAAAATTACTACCAAGAACAGACTTTTTGCAGAACACCAGCATGGGACATAGCATTCGCCATCTCAGATTCCAGGTAGGAGCTTAATGTGTGTGGTGTTTCACTCATTTTTTCATGCTTGTCATCTTGCTTGTTGAAGATTCTTCCCATTGAGGTAACAGGCAGTAGCTATAGTGTATTCATTCTTTTTTTTTTTTTTTTTGGTATTTTTCTGGTACCGGGAATCGAACTCATGACCTTGCACTTGCCAGGCAGGCGCTTTGGCTGCTGAGCTAAATCCCCAGCCTCTCGTGTATCCATTCTAATACAGGGAGCTGCAGGTGATAATTCTCACACTGTCCTCTTCTTTGTCATTGTCTTCTTTTTTTACTTTTTTCTTTTTTTGTCTTTTTGAGACAGGGTCTCGCTGTGCAGTTTGGGCTGGGCTTGAGCTCACTTTGTAGCCCAGGCTGGTCTCAAACTTGCAATGATCCTCCTGCCTCAGCCTCCTGAGTGCTGGGATAACAGGCATGTGTCACCATGCCCCAGTGTCCTCTTGTTTAACTTGTTTACTTCTCAGTATTGGTTGCTTCTCAGTCCTTTATTTATGACTTTTTTTTCCCTCATCTCTTTTTAAGCCCTTCTTGATTTATACTGTTCACTCTAGTTGACTCTCCCTAATTTTAAAGTCATCTCTATAACTTGATTCTGACCTTTCCGTCCTACCACTTTCCTACTATATAACATTTAGCACTGTTTAATCTCATTTTTAAAACTTTGTCTTCTGCATAAGATGTTCGATTTAGGAGTCCTTTATTTATTTATTTATTTATTGGTTTTTCTCTGGTACCAGGAACCAAACTCACGACCTTGCGCTTGCCAGGCAGGCGCTTTGCCACTGAGCTAAATCCCCAGCCCGCCTAGGAGTCCTTTTTTAACATATGTTATTTTTACTTACCAAACTTGGCTTTATGTATTTTATTTTTTCTGATGACCAAATCGTGTTTGATTTTTTTTTCCATGTATACCTTCACCAACAGATTTCTCCAGGTCTTCCAGCTCTCTTGCTGTTCTCTGATTTCACCTGCACCTTCTTTTTCACATGTTAATGTTGATATATATAATTTAGCACATTTATTTCTTCACATTTTATTGTTGTACTTGCTTTGTAAAAATGTCATTTGTTAGTTTTTAAAATGTGTTTATCTTTTTCTTTGTAGTAGGCATATTATGTTATACTTAAATAAGTAATTTATTAGCAATTGTTAAATGATAGAATATTTTGAAGTTTTAGGGAGAATATTATTTAAATTACTGTTTATTTTTAAAAGTTAGCTTTTACCCACATTTAAAAAAAATGTTATTACATAGTATTATTCAGGCAGCACTTTTCTTCAAAAAAAGTAAACTTGGGTATTTTTATTTATTGAAGATATAAATTACTATTTTCTTATTAACATTGGATTATATGATTCTATATTATATAATCCCTTTGGGATAAAAACATGTTTTATAGTAATGATGATACCATGCAAAGGCATTAATTATGTCAAATTTTACAGAAAATTTCTCAATATCTTGTTCAGTTTCTTTTTTTCTGGTTGTCGTTTTTTTTTTTGTTTTTTTCCAGTACTGGGAATTGAACTCACGACCCCGTGCTTGCCAGGCAGGCGCTGTGCCACTGAGCTAAATCCCCAGCCCTTAATTTCTTAATATCATTGAATTTTTTCTTTTTAAATTATCCTCTAGTTCATCATTCTTGTGGTCGACAGCATTGACAGGGAGCGACTAGCAATTACAAAAGAAGAATTATACAGAATGTTGGCTCATGAGGTAAATTTTGAAAGCAAATCTTTTTAAAAGTAATAGAATAAGATATCTGTATTTTGGATTTTTTTAAACAAATATTAATGTGTAATGTTAATGTCTTTTTTTTTTTTTCCCCAAAAATTCCTTACTGAATAATTTGAGATCACTTAGTTCTACATATTAAAGAGAAACACAAAGTTAGACAATAACATAATTTCATTGGCCAGGCAAGGTGTTGCACACCTGTAATCCCAGTTATTTTAGAAGGTTTGATTTTTTTGTTGTTGTTGTTTTCATTTTTTTGGGTTGTTTTTGTTTGTTTGTTTGTTTTGAGATAGGGTCTCACTATGTAGCCCAGGCTGGCCTCAAATTCCTCCTACTTCAGTCTTCTGAGTGCTGGGATTAGCGTGTGCCTCCATGCCTGGCTGTTTTTTAGGTTTGAAGCAAGACTTTTAGATCTGATTTTTTTTTTTTAACTTCTCAGAGTTATCTCAGAGGTAACTAGTAAAAGTAGTGATGATTATTACCATGTATATTTTTGTATGTAACATTTTAGTATAAATTGTACAAAATAATGGTATTCTATGTTCTTAAACCTTACATAAAATTATATTTACCTCTCTGTAAGTAGTACTTCTTTTCACAGCATTTAGATTTAGCCATGTCAATACATACAGCTTTAATTCATCTCTTTTAATGACACAATATTCCACAGTCAGTCAGCTCTATTAGTGAGTATTTACGTTATTTCCAGTGTTTGCGTAGCAAGAACAGTGCTGGTTAAGCACACAGCCATAGGCCTGTAAGTCCAGGTACTGAGGAGTCTGAGGATTGCGAGAAACATAGGAAGACCCAGTTATAAAGAAGAAAAAAAGAAACAATCAGTCCTGCAATGCAATGAACATTAATCAGTGAGCTTACATTATACAAAGACTAAAAATAAGTATTGCCCACTTCCTATTTCTACTATTCTCTTTTAAATTTTGGAGAACTCTCTAGTCTTTGGCAATACACTACCATACTGTACATTAGATTTTGTGACTGAGGGCCCAGTAGTCTGGCCCATTGTTAAAATTGTTGCCCAGCATGCACCGTGCCCTTGGTTTGATCCCTAGTACCACTAAAATAAAACAAAATGAAATAAAATGATTTGAGTTCTTTTTTTTTTTTTTCTTTTCAAATTGACTCCTTTAGCCCCCAAATAGATAATTACTTTTAACTACCTGGCTTGTGTTCATCTGTCTTTGTTAGAATGAATCATTAAATTGTGCTTATTTGAGATTATCTTTATTTCAATACATTTTAAAAATATTAATGCCTGGTCACTTTAAAGTAGGGGCATTTAATTAGAATAGTCCAGCTGAGTGCATTTTACCCTCCTTCATTCATTCATTTAGTTTGACTAAATGATTTATTTCACATAATAGATATTTTGTGTTGATTGCAGGATTTAAGGAAGGCTGCAGTGCTTATCTTTGCAAACAAACAGGATATGAAAGGGTGTATGACTGCAGCTGAAATCTCTAAATACCTCACTCTTAGTTCAATTAAGGATCATCCGTGGCACATTCAGTCCTGCTGTGCTTTAACAGGAGAAGGGTAAGTGTCAGTCTGGAGGAAAGTATGGCTTCAAATTTCTTTCCCCTTTTCAAGGCCAACTTGTTTTCTTCTTGCTCTTATTCCTTTTATTGTTGTTGTTAATTAAAAGGTATTTTTTATATTGTCTCTCATTAGAAGGTTGAAATCATTTTAGTGAACAAAATTACTGACCTCATAATTTCTACTATAAACATAGTGTATAACCAAAAAAGGAGGGAGGGAATAATAAACTTTTAACATAAGTTTCCACAGTCCAATTTTTTTGTTGTTCATCTGCTACTTTAATCATTTGTCAATTAAGAGAAAACTACATCATCTGAATTGAAGAAGGTTTAAGAAATTTACACATTTTCTACAAGGACTTAAACCTACACTGCCAACGTCTCAAAAGAGTACATCTCTTATTGTCAGGAGTGCTTTGGGGAGGCATACTTCCAGACAAGACATGCATGACACAAATACTGTCTTCATGCTTTCTTCCTTCCCTAAGAATGTGAAAGTGGATATTAGGCCAAGGAGAAAACGACGTTATGAGTGGGTTACCAGTTCATATCTAGGAACTTACTTGTCCTCCTACTACCTAACTTGTTAGCTTTTCTCTTGTTAGAAATGGCCTATAATATAGTAGCTATCTGTATACCTTTGACCCATGCTTTTAAGTAATGCTCAGAAGTAATAAGCATGCTTTTTAGTGTTTAAGCACAAAGGTTTTAATTTTGAAAATGCTTCTTTCTTTTTTTGATTAGGTTATGCCAAGGTCTGGAATGGATGACTTCCCGGATTGGTGTGAGATAACTTTTTAGCTTGAAAGAGACTCTTCTATTTATTCTGTGACATGAACATTTTTCCTAGTATCTCTGGCTGCTGAGGCAGCAGCATGTTTAATTTATAACAACACAAACCTCTATAAGCAACACTTGAATCAAGTGCAGCTGAACTGGAACATAAAAGATTTTTTTCTTAACTTTTTTTTAAATGCACTAATCTTCAGTTGGATGAACATTATGTATGTTTTCAACAACAGAACTCTTCTGACTGCGTATTCTAATTATTCAGTGACTGCCTTGTAAAAAAATGTTTGTCATATGTTTAATGTTTTCAGAAGTATTGTTATAACCTTTATGACCAATTTCTTTCGGTTCTTGACTATCACCCCCTAGCTCCCAGATAGTTACGGTTTGACAGAGCAGTGATGGAAGCCCCTATATTACTTGGGAACTTCTCTAACACAAAATATACTCTCTCCATAATTATCTTTTGAACAAAATTTATTATAAAGAAAGAAATCTGCCTAGAAGGTTTATGTAATAAGGAAGATTAAAATTAAACATCATAAATACTTTCCTTTAAACTTCCGCACATTATTGCATGTCATGGCCTAACTTAAGTTGCTCTTAATATGAAAATTAAGTAGGCTGTTTATCCAAAGGAATTAGGTTCATTTTCTGCCTACATGATTTGGTCAAAAATTAAGGTAAAATATTTGAGAACTGAGCTTTGATAGTAGATATTGTTGGATAAATGTGGTATTTTTAAGAATGTCCCATTATTCAGTGCATATATTGCTATCACGTTATTACAGTATACTAGATAAAAATTAAAATATACTTGAAAACACATTGTACTATTAATTTGCAAACAACTTGGTTATCAGCAAAATTGCAGCCATTTTATTTGCAAGAGTTACCACTTCTGCTTTGGGCAGTATGAAGCAGAAAACTGTGTCAGCATTTTTAAACCAGTGCTATATTACTTAAAAAACCACACAGCTTTTCTTAAATCTTTTTGTGCTTCTTCTGTAATAGGCTTGAGACAATTCTTATCTCTGTAATTATACTTTGTGTTCTAAAATCACATAGAAAACTGCTAAATCTAATCTTTTTAAAATATTACTATGACATCCAAAAGTACCATCCTTAACAATTTATAAGTCAAAAAAATAAAATGGAGAAGTCACAATCTATCAAAAGCTTATTTATTGGATACTACTGAAAGCTTTGAGGCAGTTGTCTAATATGAAAAATAGTCTAAACAGGATGTACCTTAAATTAAGAGGGAGTACTATACTGTAATTTCATTCCTGTTAATTTCAAGTGAAATTTTGCTGTAATGAAAGGCATAGAATGTATAGAGAGTAGTAATTCCTTTTTGCAGTATTTTTTTTGTTTGGATCAAAAGTTTCAGTGTTCATAAGAATTTCAGAATTCTTGTTCAAAAGTGATATTTTAATGTTTTATCTATAAATTGATATGAATTATGTGTTTTCAGATGTGCTTGGTTTATTATATATAGATGAATTAATTCAGCAGAACTTGGCAACATTTTTCTGATTTCCATTCAGTAGTAGCCTACCCTGGAATGAAAAGTGGCCAGAAGAAAGCATTCTGAACTTTGGAAAATACTTTACCTTTATTTTGAACCGTTTTTCTTAGTGATTCTATATAAGTAATGAGTAAGTTTAATTTTGTTTTTAATATAACCATAATCAGGAATGTAAGAGAAAAGCAGCTATAAATCAATATGGATGCTTTGAGGTGTGTGTGTAGGGGGTGTGATGGTGGTGGGGGGACTTAAGGAAGTACCATTTACCTCTAGCACATTTTGCCTGAATTTCTCTTTGGTTTTATCATTTACCATAAATACTAAGGATAATTCTCCTAAGTCTGTTCTGAGAAAACATATTTAATCCTCCTTATTTCCCTATGAAATAATTATCTGCCTTGTATCTAATAAGATGGCTGGTTCAGTTTTCTTCTATCAAATTATATGATTATTTTTTATATTACCACATCAGCATTATATTGAAAGTGTTTTTAATAGTCAATTGTATTTTGTCAAACAGCTACTAGAATAGACTGAAATGTCCTATTTGTTTTAAAATACAATTTGTTTTTTGAATCTTTTGTTTTAAAAAAAAGTTCTGTTACTTTTGCATTAAAAGTGATGTATGTTAGTATTTATTGAGGATGAAATTGCCATTCAAGTAGACTTTGTGCCAATGATTTGGAAGTTCAAGTAAGACTTTGTAAAAGGTTTTCCTCACATCTTTCCTGTTTCAGTAGCGTGAAAGCTGGTTATCCTTTACTCCAAGAGAATGTTTGCCCAAGCAGGTATCTAGTACTGAGCCACTGATTTTGACATTCATTGTGAATCAGCTAACTTTGTGAGACGAATATCTTATGAAAATGTGAGTGTGATTAGTGCCTTTATTCACATTTTGAGATGTTCTCAGTTTTGTACGACACCTATTCTTTAGAGTCAGAGAGCTGCAAACTCGTTCAGGAAGGGAATGATCTGAGTGGTGCTCTACCTTTCAGCGCCACATTTTATCTACCTGAGAGGCAGAAAGCACGGAACGCACCACATTTCCCTTAGATTATTCTAGATTTTACTTTCAGTTGGAAGATTGGTTAATTGTTAACAGAAGTATTTGTGACGTGTTATGACTAAAATGTGTAGCTACCAAGCCAAGATCAAATATGGCATTTTTCTTAAGTCTAAACATTTTATGTTTCTCATCTTTAATCCAGTCATTCTTACTGAAAACATTTTGAGGACTTTTAGAATAGTTTATTTTTTGAGGGAATTCACTGAATATTTTTAATGTTAGTGTAATTTAATTCCTAAAAAACTCAAATATTAATATATATAATCTCTGGAAAACTAAGGATTAAATAATTTTTGCTTTTAGGTTCTTACTTTGGTATACGTAAAGGAATAATTACTTTTATTCTAGATTCTTTGGGGGGAAAGATAATACGTTTCATTAATTAAAATAAATTTAAATGGCAGTACTCTCTGTAGCATAGCCATTTTGATTAAGCATAATTTAACTTTGATTATCAAAAGCTTAAAGGGAAAATAATTGTTTTCCAATGCAAACAGTGAGTGGCGTAGACAGTGCTCTTAACAGTAGTCTCTGAAAAGTTATGGAAGTGTCACAGCAAAGAAAGTTTTGAACAAAGCAGTAACTTTTTAATACTCTGCGGTATAGTTCCCTAGGTGAAATTTTAGATGAAATCGTTCTGCACGGCACCCGTTTAATTCTTAACCTTTAAAAGCATATATTAGAAAAATCTACTGGTGTTACGACTGTGGATTAGAAGCTTTATTGACTGTCATCTTTGAAGACCACTTTCTGTGTATAATTTTAAATCCATGGCTTTGGAACCCGTAAAACTTTACATTTAAATTAGCTCTAAAAGATTTTTCTCCATTTTGTCTGGGCAAAATCATTTCAGGATACGTATAGTGTCTTGTACTTAGTTGCATATTGTGTTGACTGTCTGAAGAAATAGATTTGCATCTTCAGTTGTCTATTTATTGATTATCTACTTGACCGAAGATAGTTATTGTCCATGGCCTGTGTTTTGTTTTTCCCATAGCGAGTACCTTCAATCAATTGGAGCTCTACCATGTCTTTTAGTTTTAAAATTCTGAGTCTTTATTACTAGTAATTTTTAAAGCCCCAAGTAATATGTATATAATGTAGAATTAAACTTATTTTATTATTTGTTTTCCACTCTTCATTTAGTATATGAATATAATCAAGGAAAATAAAAGGTCAGTTAATAACTAGTATTCAGTTTAAACTGATCTAGTAGCTAATGACAGTGCAAAAGAGAAAAAAAACCATATTGTTAAGAAAATATTAACTTGCTTATAAAGGATCAGTGGGTGTTGGAAATAATCTCTTCTAGAAAGTGTACCTTGCTTATTTTTCTGGATTTACTAATGGGTTGGAAGTGGTTAGTTCATTTTCTTGCCTTTAGATGATACCCCAAGCTCTAGTTCTGTTTGACCTTCCACTATTGAAAGGATAATGTGACCGAGATATTAGTATTTAACCAGTGTTTGCATATATCTGAAACTGCTTCATAACCAGGATTAGTTTTTCGTAGTGTTGTCTAATTGTTATTCATTTAATATTATTGTGAAGACTGAAACTCAGAAGCCAAGTTCCCAAAAAAGGGTACTGTGTATGAATTGTACAGGAGGCTGAAGCAAGAGGATCACAAGATTGAGGCCGGCCTGGGCAACTTACAGTGAGACCCTGTCTCAGAATGAGAAGAGCTTGGATATGCCTCAGTAATAAAGTACTTGTCCAGCACGCATGAGGCCCTATGTTCAGTTCTAATACTGCCCACGTCATGCCAAAGTTCTAGGTGGCCAAAACTAAATAGAGAAAGTTAAAAAATAGGTTTGACTGCTGTGTTTTAAATTGAAAAGGAAACAAAATGTGTTCATTGGGCTTAAAATTGGTTTTAAAATATATATGATTTAGTGAAATGTTTGGAAAATGTTCCTTTTGGAACATTTGGAGGCATACCTGGAAACTAAGTCAGAACTATGTTCAGAAAGACATAAGAGAAAGTGTGAATGGTAGAAGGAATTTCCCTTCCTCTCCCTATTTAAGGCACTTAAAATTGCTAGTCTTCTACTGCAGATGGTTTATGTTATTTTTTTTTTTTTTGGTTTTTTGGTTTTTCTCTGGTACCGGGAACCGAACTCACGACCTTGCGCTTGCAAGGCAGGCGCTTTGCCGCTGAGCTAAATCCCCAGCCCCCGGTTTATGTTATTTTTATTGTGGCCCAAAAAACTGAAGACTGACATTTTTTTAGAATTTGGAACTGTAGTCAGATAGAGGTATCTTTTGCATTCCTTTAAAAAACAGTAATCTACATGTTCTTCTGGAAGTGGAGAAGTAATAAAATGTCCTGTTCATAGCTTTTGGAATAGAAAATAAATTCTCATGCACAAAGTTTTAAAGTGTTAATTAAAAAATTACCTCATTGTTTAATCCACAGGGTGCTTTGTTCAAGTTTGTGGGATGTCGCACTGTCCCATAGATACCCTCTTCACACAAACTGTATGAAATGTGCAGATTTTACAACTTGGGGATTTTGGTTTTTTTCTTAATTATTTATCACCAGCAGGGCTAACATGATTTGTCAGTTTTCATTAAAGCACATGAGCAAGTGCTCAGTCAGTCAATATTTAAGTAGTTACATGCGATAAAGGGAATGAAAAGATTCGTAATGAGTTTGATTACATTATGCTGTTGAATATATTTACTTTAGTATTAGTAAGCAAGGAAATGACCATCACTGGATCTCACTTCGTAAGAATTGTATGCATGTTTTGGCCCTATTCGTAAGAGACTATACTCTTTTTAACCTTACATTTTCCCTCAGAAAATTCAGGAACTTTGAAGCCCCTATTTTATTCTCTTGGAGTAAACTTTCAGTGTAGTTATGAAAACTTTAACGTTGATTTTTGAAACATTTAGCTGCTATTTCATTGAAATTGCACAGTAAATGATGGTTATGATGTTTCTCAGTTATGGAGTAGTTATAAATTTTATCATCTGTTCTGTGGAACACAGTTGTAAACAACAACAAAACGCAAAACCTAAAAGCAGTTGCAGCCTTGCCCTTCGATTTATTCCAATCGGAGTGTAGGGATTGTGATCACACGTTGCTGTCTTACTGTAAACTGGTGCTTTAGAGGACGTAGAGGAAGCAGCAGGCCCTGTATTCAAAACACTTCTTGCCTTTGAATGTAAAACTACTTGAAAGTGTCTCTATTCAGGTCTAAGCTCATTTAAAGACTGGAATAGAAACTTTCATCCATCAGGCTTCAGGTTTTCTGCTAAAGCACTAACAGTATCTTAGCCTGGTCAAAATAGAAGACGGTATTAAGAAGGTCAAAACTGAATTAGATCTCTCTACCCCTTCTCCCTGGTATTGTACAGAGAAAAGAAAAACGTCGTTGTTGCCATGAGCTGCTCCTGACTCCTGACCAACTGAGATGTGTGCCATTGGCCCAATATATAAGCATTAACAAATTTTGAAAGCAAATTACTGAGTGTGTTCACATTACTTCTTGCAAATGGTTTAAAGCATGTTCTTCTGATGGTGGGCTTGTTTAAAAGACATTTTAAAAATTTTAATACTCCATTACTGTTGTGAAATGCTTTTGTATGTTATGTTTAGGTTGCTGGTATTCATGATTTTTTATTTCTGCAATTATGTTATAATGAGTTGCTTGCATGCCTACTTACCCAAGTAAAACAGTGCTGTTTGCTCTGGAATGTTTATCTTATAGACAGGATTTGGCTCCTTTGCAATCATGGTGCAATACAGTGTAACATTTGTTTTCAGTCAACAGTTTTATTTTTGTCATAATAAATAATTTTCCAATATGAAGTAACCCAGTGTTTTCTTTTAAAGCTAAAATATATGTGAAGTCCTTTTGTTGTTAGTGATAGAAACTCCCATTTAAGCAGTCAGAGGTGGGAATTTTATTATAAGGGTGATGCGTTAGGTGGTGAGAAATACAGTGGGATTTCTGGAGGAGACAGGAGTGACGACTTGGAGCGCTGAGGAGAAGCCAGACGCTTCCCGCTCTTCTGTGGCCGTCTCGGTCTTTCACTAGGCGGGATTTCTCTGCTTCCTGGCGCACGTAGATGGTCATGCACCCGTCTCGTAGCTCCTATATTACAGTAGCTCCCTTTGTACAAGGGGGAAGCCAGGTTGTTGTTAGATTGTTACGTCGAATTCTTATTGCCCAGGAAAATAGTGGCAGCGAACCTGTGGCAGGTGTGCCACAGCAGCTGTTCGTCATCATCGAAAGCTCTCAAAGGTTCGCCATCACTGCCTGGATTAGGTCAGTCACCCGCTGTGATCTGAACAGCTGGAAGGAAGGTGCGTTTACCAGAGAAGGGGGCTATGTGATTTCTCTACACATTGTTTCCACCTAAACTGAGTTCTTGCAATAAAAACAAGTGTAAGGGGCTGGGGATTTAGCTCAGCGGCAAAGCGCCTGCCTGGCAAGTGCAAGGTCGTGAGTTTGGTTCCCGGTACCGGAAAAAAACAAACAAACAAAAAGTGTAATCTAATGAAGGTGACAGAATTCATTATATTCATCTAAAAGTAATGACTTTCAATACTGCCCTTTTTTTCGGACTGAGAATCTGGTAAAAACAAAACAATGTGATCGACATGAAAAATTATATGTAGGTACAGAGTTAAATTTTATACAGGAGGTTAGGAATTTTTGTGTACCTCGGGTTATGCTATGCTACAGAACATTTAGATTTGCTACAAAAGACACCAGGAACCAAAAAGGTTACACCTTGCCTATTTTTTTAAATGGCTCCGTGTAGGTGTAATTAGCATATGAAATTGTACATGTCTGAAGTACACAATTTGAAAGCTTTGGTGTGTTACATATCCATGAAGCCACAATTAAAGTTATACCTGTGGTCTAAAGGTTTCCTGGTGCCCTTTGTAATCTTCCTCCGCTCTATTCTGCCCCCAGATAATCAGTGATTTGCTTTCTGTTTCTCTAGGTCACTTTCATAGAATTGTATGTAATCAATATAATTACAGATTCTTCTCATCTTGTTCTGCGTATCAGGAGTTCGTTCCTTTCTATTACTGAGTAGTACTCCATTGGATAGATACGTCACAATTTGCTTTTGCTTACCCGTTCACCGGTTAGAGGACATTCTTATTTTGAGCTACAAGTGAAGCTTCCCGAATATTTGTGCAAAAGTCTTTGTATGTACATTTGCTTTCATTTCTCTTGGGTAAATCTAGAAACCCTAGGAATGGAATGGTTGGGTCACAAAAGTAAGTGTACATTGAACTTTTAGGGCAGTGCGCACTTTTAAAGTAGCATTTTACATTCCCCCTATTAGTGTATAAAGTTCTGGTGGTTTTCTGCATTCTTGCCACCAGTTGACCTGGTCATTCTTTGGTTTTAGACATTCTGATAGATCCCTCCTTGTGAGTTTAACTTGAGCTCCTTTAAAGGTTAAAGAAAATGAGCATCCTCTTGTGTGCTTGTTTGTCCTATACCATTATGCAGTGTTTGTTCACATATTTTGCAGATATTTATTTAGTGGTACTGGGAATTGAACCCAGGGCTCCATGCATAACAGCTAAGTACCCTACCACTGAAGTTGGGAGCCTTGGTCAGTTTTAAATTGGAGCAGTTTTTTTTTTAAATGAGTTTCGAGAATTGTTTATTCTAATACAAGTAATTCATCAGTATGCAACATGCAGTTGCCTCCCAGAGTGGATTACTTTTTTGTTCTCTTAATATCCCTTTAAAGCATTGATGACTTAATGCTACTCCCTAGTACCAGATGACCAAATACAAGAGCGTCAATAAGTGAGTTTTGGTTAACCACAGGTTTAAACTTAGCTAAAATCCTTGTGCGTAGTGAGTACGTACAATTTATATGGAAGTTTTTCAATATTCATATTTTCTTATCGTTAACATAAGTTTACTTGAAGGGGCTGGGGATATAGCTCAGTGGCATAAGC